TCTCTCTCTCTCTCTCTCTCTCTCTCTCTCTCTCTCTCTCTCTCTCTCTCTCACACACACACACACACATGGGTGTCTTGAGGAATGAGAGTCATGATGGAACAAAGAAGTTGTGTTGGCAAGTAGAGTCCCTAATTCTACTCTAATGTGGGTCAAATCTCATCTCATTAGATGGCCTTAGGTTGACTAGTGATTCCCAGATGCTGCAACATCAGCAGCATTTAAATTAGGGTTTACCAGATTTGGGCTGGAAGAATCCAGATGACCAGGAGATAGTAAAAAGTTGAGATTTTTTATAACTGTTGCCATCTAGTGGATGCCCAGAATTTTGCAACCCAAGTCCTATTCAGATCAACTATCATATTTTCTCTTTCTCTTTCCCTCTCTCTATTTTACAACAGTTTGTTAAAGTACACAACACCCTTTATTGCTTTTGCTAGAACAGTCTTATATCCTAGCCTGCTATAGAGATACTCTGCACTGACTCTTTCATTGGCCAGATTTTCAAAAGAGATTATTTCCCAACCCATCCTTTTAAAAAAATGATGGTGATGAATTTTAGGAACTTTTGACATGCAAAAGCACTGACCTAGGGGCCTTAAACCACTTCCAGATCCTCCAAGCATGGAAAAAAATGAGAAGACCATACAATACTTTGGGGCCAAGGAAAAGACTGGGAACTATAGATTCTATTTGTGGTAGGGAATGGAGGTAAGTTAAATCTTTGTCCCCAACTTGAACTGTACCTAGACAGAAAATCTCGGATGCTTCCCAGGGGGCTTCCAGTGAGGATCATGGTGAACTAGACATCTCTGAAGGAGCAGAGAAGACACTGCAGCACAGAACGGCAGCCAGAGGGTGAATGCTGACCAGCAAAATCTCTCCAGACAAAGGAGAGATCGTGAGATAGCCCACTTGCACTCTGGACAGTTGCTCCTCGTGCATAAACTGCAGGAACAGATGTTTTTGCAGTTGGCTTGTGAGTTGAACAGCTGGGAGTTGAAGGATTCTATCTAAGCTCACAGCTGTTAATGTAGCCTCTACTGACATAAAGTTCAGCTGAACTTCATTTCTTAATCACTTTTGGATTGAATTAATCTACAGCTAAAGACAGATTTTCTTTGTGGCAGGGTAAGATTCAACTTGGTGAGTTATCATTTTTTTCTGGATTACAAAGCAATAAAGGAAAAAAAGGTTTTAAAGACTTAAGAACTTTTGGCAAAAAGCTTAACAAGGAGATGTTGTAAGAAAGTTTAAAACAGATCAAGGGGACAGTTATTTTGAAAGAGTTTTTTTAGTGAAAGTGCTTTTGAATAAATTGGAATTAAATTAGACAAATGAATCAGACCTTCGTGGGAATGTTTTTTGTTTATTATTAAAGAGTCCAGAAAATTAGTGGATTTTACAAAACAAAAGATAAGTATAATACGAGCAGACTGCGTTTTTGAACGTAACTATGGAGATATGGATTATGATGCTGACTGTAATTATGGTGCACCATTAGAGACTAAAGTATTAAAGGCACAGGAAGACAAAAGAGGGAAAAAATGGGGGGAAGCTTGCCTTTTCCTTTTCCCTTGTTTGAGACACTTTCACTTTTGGATTATAATATAATGGCACCTACTTGAAAAGCAGCAAGAATGGAAGGGAGGAGAACATCATTAGAGCAACCTGCAGAGAGAGGAATTACATCAGATTTGTGTCATAAAATGTTTAACCAACTCAGCAGTAGGTTAGCTGAAACACTTGATACTAAATTGACAGCTTTTAAAAAAAGAATGGATGAAAGACTTGTAAAAGTGAAAGAAGAGATGAAAGAAGAAGTTAAGAAGATAGAAAACTCTGTAAAACAAGTGCTTGGAGATGTAAAACAAATTAAGGACAAAGTGGATATTTTGGAGAGTAAGGCAGAAGTTATAGACAGAGAGTTGAAAAGAGAACTAGATAATCTGGTTCTGTTGGAATTGAGAGAGAAGGAATTTTGTGTAAGACTTAGAGCTATCCCAGAGGTTTCTGATGAAGATATTAGAGAAAAGATTATTCAACTCTTGGCAATTTTTTTTGGATTGGGAAGAGGAGGATACAGAAGCAGAAATTGATAACATTTATAGAATAAGTTCAAGATTTGTGAGAACAAGAAATGTTCCAAGGGATGTTTTGGTACACTTTGTCAGGAAGAAGACAAAGGATCAAGTTTTGCAGCAGCGTTTTAATACAAGACTGAAGATTGATAATGCAGATATAATTGTCCTTAAAGAAATTCTTATCCAAATTTTACGTTAAAAGAGGTGGTTTTTTTCCTACTGAAAGATTAAAGCAGAAAAAGATCCCATTTCGATGGGACAAACTGGAAGGTATGATTTTTTTACTTTTAAACAGCAGAGATTTTGATTCAGAGGATTTTAAAGATTAATATACAATTGAAACTAGAGGCTTTGCTTTTGGGACTGATAGACAAACAGTTGGAAAAAAGTAATGAAACTTTTGTTTTTATATGTGATAACCGCCGCAAGATTATTATATGCACAAAGATGGAAAGATTCAGTACGACCCACAATGGAGGAACAGTTGGTGAAGATGATGGAATTTGCCAAGTTGGCCAAATTGACTTCTTTGATCAGAGAAAAGACAATATCTCTGTTTGTTGTTGACTAGAAAGCCCTTACAGACTTTTTGCATGAAACAGAAAAAAAATTAACTTATGATTTATGGTTTTGATGATTAGAAAGAATAGATTATAGAAAAAAGAGAGTTATTTTGTAATCATAGAGCAAGAGGTAAATTTATAATTGTACTCATAACCGCTGTAAAGAAAATCAGAAGCTGCTACTTTGTATCCTTTTTCTTTCTTTGCTTTTGCACTTTTAGCTCTTTCTCTGATTTCTTTTTTCTTGTTACTCTATGTTAGTTTGTTATTTTTATCTTCTTATCTATCTATCTATCTGAAAAACTTGGATGTTTCTGGGTTCTGAGGTAAACTAAAGTAGATATTTGAAAAACTGGCACATGTCTCCTTATCAGATAGCTATCTATGTTTATTCATTTATACAAATTTAGGAGCCACTAAATGATTCTGGGCAGCTTACAATTAGAAGAAAAACAAATACAAAAATGGAAATAAGCATCTTCACTATGTAGGTCCAAAACTTTCAAGAGGCCCAATCTCCCCTTTCGCAAATTATAAAGAACTCCCAGAAAAGTCAAGAACATTTCTTACCCTGTGAAACTTGGAGGGAAAATAAGGCTCCTTATATCCTAGTTCCCTTCCTGAGCCAAACCACTAGACTTGCAACTTGCATTCTTTCAGTTATCTCAAAGAATCCTTGGATCTTCTCATCTGTTTGTGAAATAAAATATTAGCTTCAATTATCTTCCATTTGCTGCTGCTTCTTGCATGTAGAGCTATTTCTTACCTTGAGTATAAACTTTCTTTTCTTTCTAAAGCAAAGTATCATATTACCCACATACTACATTTTCCATTAAACAGATGATCCTAAACCACATCTTTTGGGAACTCAGAAAAACTTCCTGAGAGATGTGAATTTTCCCCCTTTAAGAAACCAGGGACTAACTTCAAAATTTGGATTGGTGCTCATTCCAGACAATTCAGAGCCATCCAGAAAGAATCAAATCTGAATTATTTGAACAAAGAAATGGAAAGAAGAGGTTGCTACTTACAGTGGGATAAGATTAGATGAGGGTTTGCATTGCATAGAGTCCAATGGTGGGAATTCTAATTATAACATTCTGAGCTGTGGTTTCTTCATTAACAGAATGAGCCTAGCAATGTATTTTTTCTTATGCAGGAGCATGTCTTGCAAGGCAAATGCTGAATCAAAGCATAGTGGGTCTATTTCTTAATTTATGCATCTATCATTCACTTATAAAAAAATAAAGCAATCATAACTCTTTGGAGATTGGTAGAGAGGGAAGAGATATATAAGTGTCATCACTGGCTCTTGCCACAAGGCATTTGCCATGAGGGACTGGCTTTTTTTAATAGAAGTGCATTAAAAATCACTCCTACTCTTAAAATGTTGCATCTATCTACAATCTGGGTATGAAGGAAGTGAATTTCCAGTTGTCGTAACAAGATGCAGAATACTGTCATTTTTAAAAATTCATTCTCGTTTCTATCAATGTGTTTCCAAATTCAGAGGTTGTTGTGAGCATCTTTCTTCTCTCTGTTCGTAACTAACATCTTTTGGAATACATCTGACACTTTATCCAGACATTTTCTGAAGGCTGTATTAGAGATAGGTTTGCTGTCATAAACCTGTGCTATGCTACGAATAGCAGAGAATAACATCTCATCTGTCAGCACTGCTAACGTGGTCTGTTGTTAGGTTTTTCCTTTTACATGAAAATATACACCAGTCAGTGAGCTGCTGATTTTCAAACACAATTTAGTTCACTGTTCTGCCTATACTTTGTTGAGTTAAAGTAAAAATATATACAAATCTGTAAAATAAAAGCATGGTATGGTGGATGCCATTTGGTAAGCCACTATGACCTTCCTGCAAGAGGCATGGATCATTGCTGGTCAGTCACAAGTTTTTATTAGTTTTAATAGAAAGGATAGTTTCCTTCCTCTCATCCATATTTATATGCTCACTCATTATTTAATCATAGACTAAAGTCTAGAGGAATACTTTTGCTTTCGTAGGTATTTATTTCTCTTAGACTCCAACCTTGAAGGAGTGACAGTGGATTATAAATGATGTCACAAACTCCTGAGATGTTTCTTTTCCTACACTAGAATTCTCTGGTATGTACATTCCCAAAGAATCACTGTATACTACAAAGGACTATCTGTTGTGTTCATTTTCA